CCAAGTGGCGCACTATCCAGTGCGCCACCGGGCCGGCCCTACATTGCACTTTTTTAAAGAACATTTCTTCTGTTAGGACACCTGCAACTTGCCTTAGCCGTGGTAAATGTATAGAATGTGAATACTGTGATAAATCCTTCCAGCTTAAGTTTTTTTTTTTTTTTTTTAAATTTTGCTACTAAATGCAACTTTCCTTCCTTAGAAGATTTTTTTCTTACAATTTTCTTATTTAAATGTGGATCTGTGGATTGTTTGTGTGTGAATTACTCTGAGCAGGGCTCCCAGTAGGGTTCAAGAGGAAGCGGCGAGTACGATGTCTGGTAAAGCAAACACTTCAAGAAAAAGTCCGAACAGTTACAAAGAAATCCAAAAAGAAAAATTGATGATAAAATGAAGTTGTCTGAAAAAGAGGTGAGAAACTCAGCGAAAAGAAATAAAAATCATCCAAAGCATCTGTCTTCTGAAGAACAAAGCAGACAAATCTAGAACAGGTGAAGGTAGCACCAACTAGAAGAAAACCTGGCAAGCTCTTTCAAAGAGCAGCAGAGAGCATCTGCGAGCTACGATGGACTCAGCAATCATAGTAACAGTTTTAGAGAAAAGAACAAATTCAATATCTTCTCAACTTCCTAAAAAAGAGATTGCTACAACTGTGTGAAACCCTGAAAGTCCCTCCCAAAAAGCTGAAAGATTTAACTAATGTGTCAAGTTTACTGAAAATGGAAATTGCGCAGAACAGAGCTAATGAAAAAGGGCTGGCACTATTGCAGGAAGAAAAGTATAAAATAGAAGAGACCACAGAGGTGATGACTGGGAATATTCAAGGCCTAAAGAACAAATTTCAAATTCTGGCAAGTGAGGTGGAAGAAGAGGAGGAGAAGGTAAAACAGATGCTTCAAATGGATTTTAGTAGGGTACTCTCTCTTCCAGAACTTTCTCAGAACAGTCTCAAAGCACCCAGACATTAGAAAGAAATTTTGATGTCAATTCCAAACCAGAATGCTCTTCTAAAGGACTTGGATATTCTTCATCATTCAACCCAGATGAAGGACATATTAACATTCATTGAAGAAGCCTATAAGAAACTGGATACCTCTTAATTTGTTTTTTTAGATTGTTTCATATTAATGTTTTTGAATTTGTAAAACTTAACCTATGATGACATTACAGAGGCTGAAGCTTCTGTAAGATTTATTATCCCCTAATATGCACTTTAAAATTAGCCTGTGTAGGTCTGTCATCAGTATCTAATGTAATTCTGAAAACTGCACTTTTAGTAGTTTCCAAATCTAGGTATATAGCCAGGTGACTATGCTAATTGTCCGGCTAAAGCTATTGTTGGAATCCTGCTGACGTAGCCAGTTGTATGGTTAAGGCTTCGTAACTAAAGCCAAAATGTTTCATTATTTTAGGTTTTCCATTTGTATTGTAAGGGCTGGGCTAGGGCTCACAGACTCTTCAAACCCATTGTACAGACTGGGTCACAGACCCCTCAAATGACAGGCTGGGTCACCAGACCCCTCACATGCAGGTTCATGAGCTAGGTAATTGGGAAAGATCCCAGGAGCCACTGTCAGATGACACGAGCTCAGTCCTCAGCTTCCTCAGCAGCAGCAGCAGTGGCAGCCTCTCAGAGGGTCCCGAGGGCCCTGGCAGCAACAGCCTCCAGCAGCAGTAGCAGTCTCCCCATGGTCCCCCCAGGGCATCCCGGGGGTGGGGGGCGCTGTGGATCAGAGCCACTTGTCCTTTATACTTAAGTCCAATAACCCAGGACACCTGGGACGCAATTACATTAGACAATAATACGCACCTGGGTGCACAAACATATTTACATCAAATGCTCGGCAAGACTCCGAACCCCCAAGGGACCCTGACCATTTATCTTCACTTTTCCTACACTAGGAAATCAACATTTATATTGCTACATCTGTGGTTGTTTGCCTAAATCATAAAATATGAATAGCCATGATCTAACAGTTTATAATGGCTGAACTCATTTACTGGTTAGCACAGAGGAACTGTGATACTGTAACTTAATATATGTAAAGTTTTTATGTATAGAGCCTAGTGCATAAAACTATAGATGTTTGCTGTTACTCATTGTTAGCTGATGCCTTGCATTTTATCTGGTCATCTGGAACTTGAGAAATCCCCAAATGCCTTCATTCTTTTACCTAACTCCCTAATCTTTTTGTGAAGTAGTTAGGATTTCCCAGGTATCTTTAACTTTGGAGGTAACATCAACATTTTGTTTTTTTGGTTGGTTAGTGAATAGATGTTAAATATTTACTTTCTACTGCCATCAAAGCATACTTTTACTTTAGAAAATTTTTAAAAAGGAAGCATATTTATTCCCTGAA